TCCTCTTGTTATATATGATCATCAACCCCACTACAGCCTTTTCAGCAGCAAAATCTGAACACTATCCAAAGAGTACACCACGGACTCAAAAGTTGCAAAGAAGCAAAGCAAGTTTCAAGTAGAAGTTTCTGACTCCATTCAAACTGTTTTAGATATACCGCTGGAAAAATAGCCACTTTCAAAAAAAAAAAAACAACAAATTAGGTGCTCTGATCAACAATCCCAGATGAGGATTTCTCTGGTGGCGCAGTGGTTAAGAGTCCGCCTGCCAATGCAGGTGACACAGGTTCAAGCCCTGGTCCGGGAAGATCCCACATGCTGTGGAGCAACTAAGCCCATGCGTCACAACTACTGAGCCTGTGCTCTAGAGCCCGCAAGCCACAACTACTGAGCCCACGTGCCGCAACTACTGAAGCCTGCTCGCCTAGAGCCCGTGCTCCACAAGAGAAGCCACCGCAATGAGAAGCCCGTGCAGCAACGAAGAGCCAACGCAGTCAAAAATAAACAAATAAATTTATAAAAAATAAAAAATTAATATGGTTGTTGTTTAACCCCAACTAAGTTTGGAGTGCTGTGTTATGTAGTAATCGATAACCAAAACTAATGTATTATGCAATAACAGATAACCAGAACTACCGAGCTATTAAAAAAAAAACACAACATACTATATATGCAACAACATGGATGAATCTCAGATACAATGTTGAATAAAAGAAGCCTGGTTAAAAGGAGTACGTAATATAATTCCATGTACATATAAGTTCAAAACCAGGCAAAACTAAGCTATAGTTATAGAAGTCAGAAGAGTGGTTACCAGGGTGGGAATAATTACTAGAAAGGGACACAACAGAGACTTCTGGAGTGCTAGAATAGCAAATGTCTTGATCTTGGTGGTAATTATAGTGTGTTCACTATGTTAAAAAAAAAAGAAAAAAAATCATTGCGCTAGCTAAGATTTATGCACTCTTCCCACTATGTATTGTTTTGAATCAGTAGAACTTGGTAACCTAACAGTTAAGGGTATGAAGGCAAAATAAAGAATGACTCTAAGTTTTCAGGCATAATTGACTAGGTAATGCCATTAACTGAACAGTTAAACCATGGGGCAAATAAAAACAGAAGCAGAAAGCAGAGACAATGTCCTATTCATTTTGTATTCAAGTACCTACCCCAGTACTCAATACACAGTCACTCTGGCTTCCAAGATACTCTTCTCATTTCTATCCTACCTTTCTGCCCACCCCTTCTTGGTCTCCTTTGTTGCCTCCTTTGTGTCCAGCTGCCTCTTAATATTGGGATTCCTCAGCCTTCCGTCCCCAATTCCCCTTTCACAGACGTGCACACGCACAAACGCACACACCTTTCTCCTGTATTTTCAATTTCAGTTGACAGCATCATCATCACCTACTTGTTCTTTTGAACTAGAAACTTCAGAGTTGACCAAGAATTGGGATTGCAGTTAGCTAAATTAAAAAAGAAAAATTTAACAGGATAAACGTAAGTTCTCATGCTTGAGCACCAAAACCAATGCAGAAAAACAGAATGAAGAAGATATGGCTTAAACAGATCTAGGGGTTTAATTCAACTCTAGGTTCAACCATGATGTGGTTATCAAAAAGATATAGCTGATAATAAAAATGTAGTATGTAGAAGAAAGGCAATATTTTTTCCTAGCCTAATAGAAGAAAAGTGTTGTGTCTAAAACCAGAGATGCAACTCAATTTTTTACTAATCAAGCCCTGCCTGGAGTACTGTATTCAATTTTAAGCAGTACAGTTTAAACAGGGGATTAAATCAAAGGAAAGTCACCAATGTGGTGAAGTGACATGAAATCATGCCTTGTAAGGAACAGTTAATGAACTAGATGGAGGTGTTTCAACTCAAAAAGACTGAGGAGACTAGATGACGGTCTTTGAGTATTTGAAAAACCATTACGTGGAACAGGAATTCAGCTTGTCCTACATGTCTCCAAAAGACAGAATTGGGTGGGAGAAATAAGAAAGTAGACTTCCACTCAATCTAAGAAAGAATTTACTAACAGTCAAAACTTTATGAAAAACAGGGACAATTTTGCCTCCCTGGCCAGGGATGCTAAACACCCAACAATTCAGAGAACAATCCCCTACAACAAAGAGCGACCCATCTAAATGTCACCAGTCACATGGTTGAAAAACCCTGTTCTAGAAGTAGTGAGCTCCCTGCCATCGGAGGCATTCCATTATAGACCAGACAATGTGATGATATCCAATACATGACTTTCAAGAATGGTGGGAAATGAGTGGAATAAAGATTTTCTGTTTCGATAACTCTCCAGAGAAAAATACCCTCAGGCATGTTACAGTGATGATGATATGGTGATGATGATAAACACTTACTGAACACATACAGTGGACCAGACATGATACCAAGTGATTCATTGTACATATTTCACAGGTCATTCTCAAAACCACCTATGAAATAGCTACTATTTCACCTTGATGTGATGGTAAAATTAGGTTGCCCTGATATCATACAGCTGTCAATCTTGGAACTCAGATCTACCTGACTCCAACTATGTACATCACTGTCCCAACCATAAATACTAATGACTTCAAAGCTTTCGTACTCTAGAAAACAAATGAAACAGCACGTATTCTAGAAGTATCGGGACAATGTCTGAACAGGTTTGTACTCACTGCAAACCTAGTTGGCTGGGAGAAAGAGTAAAGGATTATTTGAAGTAGTCCAGTGATGAAGGAGAGATCAATTATACTGACTGTCCCCAACTGCCTACTTTTGTAAGAGCCAAGAAGCTCTTATATACCCATGGAATCTCAGTCAGAAGCTGAGATTAATGATGACATCCCTTTATCCATAGGCGTGAAAGCTCAGGATGGACAGACGTTTGAACATCCCCGACTGGGAATCCTGCCCTTAACAAATACACTAGATGCAGATACATGGTTTCTTGGCTGCCTCTACGCAAGCCCATCTGTCAGGATGGCAGTGTGCCTGCTCACATGTTGGTCAAACTGTCACTAGGGCATAGGTGCCAAGCAATGATAGTTTTAAATGGGCAGCTTGCATAGCACTGTAAGAGCTTGCTCTTCTGCAGGGGAAAAAAAAAACAAAAAACAAAAAACTCCGCTTTAATACTGAAGGGTTGCAATCACAAGTAAAACAGTCTTGGTCAATCTGAACATTTCAGTGGAAAAAAGATCCAGACTTGTGGAAAAGAGTCAGACTAAGGAAATTAAATCAAACAGAAAAAGTGCTTTGAAGGCAAATAAGTGATTGCACTAAAGCTTTTCACATTGCCAACCTTTCATTAATACACGTCACGGTAATCTCTTATGCAGTAAAATCCCTTGCTCAACAAGTCATCATCGATGTTTTATAAAAATGGAATGATATGGCTTCCCATGTTCTAATTAAAAAGTAGAAATGCATATGGATATTTAGCAGTTTGACATTAAATAAGTTCTATTTGTTAAGTGGCTATTTTTTAAATGACAGAAGTTTAATCCACATCCAAGATAATCTTTTAAATGCACAAAAGAAGGCAGAAACCAAATGAGTTTCCCAAAGGTGAACAGAAAAAGAAATATAATTTCTTCGGGGAAAGAATCAAGAACGGGAAGTGGATGTTAAAACAGAAACTGAGTATTTTGGGTCACAAATTAATAAATTAGGACTCGGGGGCTGTCACGTATCACATCCCCCTAACTATAAGGGGGATAGAATAGGTTTAGAGATAGAATAGGTTCCTATTCTATCTCTAAAGATCCTTTGGATCACTGGCATGAAGTATCTAACATTCTTATTGCTTGGAAATTCTTCCCTCAGACTAAAACTCTAATGCTGCAGTTTGAGCTGTGTGTCCTTGTTCAGTCCTCGGTGATTTTGAAGAACAGCTGGTCATCATCATTCTCCATGTGGTTCTTCATATACAAGTATCAGGACATACTGATTAAATAACCCCTAAGTCTCCTCTTAGCCATGATAAATAAAAGTGATTCCATTAACTTTTCCTCACTGGACCAATTTATCAACTCTTTACGTTTTTATCATTTCAGTTGCTCACCCCTTGGACCCTTTTTAGGTCTGATAAGAAATGTCACCCACATCAACAATGAGCCAACATGTACAATTTACTAAAAGAAGCATTAAAATGAAGGAGTTTGAAAGTCCAGCAGAGTTCCCAGTATCCATCACTGAGGACAGTGGCAAAAGTCTGAAATCTACTATTATTCTTCTAGGAAATACAAAGGACATTGTTATAAAGTGACACCACTGTTTTGGCTTTGTGGTAGACGTGTGTAACACAAAGTACTAAGTCAAGTTCAGGGTCCTGGCTATAACCTGTTCTTCCTACCAACCTATTACTGTACTGCTATACGTGCCCCTAAAACAACTTCTCTTGAAGACCATCTCTCCCATATCATTTTTCCTGCTCAAGAACCCACAGTACATTCTAGTGGCCAATGAAACTGATTATAAACTGGCCAGCAGTTTTCTAGACTCATGAACCAACTATCCTCCCCTTCACTCCCATGACTCCCCAGAACAGCCAGTTCTTACCTATTTCCTCTAGGACCTAACTTTGCTCATGCTATTCTCTAAAATGTGTTCCCACTTCCTCTCAAATCTATACATAAATTTTTTTCAAGACGTAAGGCATGAGTCTCCATACCTTCATACACCTTCATAAATCTGTATTAATTTTCAACCTTACTTGCTTACTCATTTCCTCCTATCTTCATTTTGTATGCAGTTTACAGTGTACAGCCAGCTGATTTTTGATAAAGGTTAAAAAAAATGATTCAATGGAGAAAGGGTAGTCTTTTCAACAAATGGTTTGTCACAGTTGGACATCCATAGACAAAAGAAAAAAAAAAAAAAAAAAGAACCAAGACCTAAACGTCAAACCCTCTGCAAAAATTAACCCAAAACGAATTCATTGATCAAAATGTAAGACATAAAATTGTAAAACAGAAGAAAACTTGGAACATCTACTTGACCTAGGGTTTGGTAAAGCGTTCTGAGACATGCATGACACCAAAAACGATCCATACATTGGTAAGTTGGACTTCATCAAAATTAAAAACTTTTGTGCTGCAGGAGACACCGTAAGAGAATGAAAAAACAAGCCACAGACTGAGAGAATATATATGCAAATCACATATCTGGCAAAGGACTTGTATTCAGAATATATAAAGGATACTCTAACCTCAACAATAAGAAAACAAATTAGAAAATGGGCAAAAGATTTCAACAGACAAATCACCAAATGAGATATGAATGTGTGGGAGTGAAAAAAAATTTTTCCACTACTCTTCTAGGTTCTTTTGGCTGGTATATTAATTAAATTGACATATGACAGATTAGCAGGAGAAAAACAAATTTAATTACCTCCATAAAAATATGGGACCCAAGGGTAAGTTGGGCAGTTGAGGCTAATATACCATCCTGAGCTAAGGAAGGGGACAGGGGCCTGGGACTTCAAAGGGGAGGAAGGTAACTCAGACAATAAGATCAGATGTTTTGTTATTAGATGCCAAACAGAGAGGGCTTTCAGATAAAAGTTAGCTCTGGTAATAGCTCTCTCTGAGCCAGGCTCCCTATCTAAATTCATTTGGCAGTTGAAGTGGAGGTAAAAAGCTCTTGAGTCTTGGGTCTCCACTGTCTTTGGCTTAAGGTAATCTGCATGCCATAACGGCACATTTGGGGGAGGCTTTTTCTGAAACCCTTCAAATGGCAAATAAGCACATGTAAAGATGTTCAACATCATTAGCCATTAGGAAAATGCAAATTAAAGCCATTATGGAATACCAATACACACCTATTAAAATGGCTAACATAAAAAATACTGCTAACACCAAATGCTGGTAAAGATGTGGAGAAATTGATCTCTCTTGTAGTGATGATAAGACTGTAAAATGGTACACCTCTGGGAAAGTTTGCAGTTTAAACACACACTTACCCCTACAACCCAACAGTTGCACTGGAGTATTTATCCTAGAAAAGTGAAAACTTATATTCATACTAAAACCAGTACATAAGTGCTCATAGCAGCTTTATTTGTAATAGCCAAAAACTAGACAAACCACAACCTTCAATGGATGAATATTATGTGGCAAAGCCATACAAAGGATGAGCATAATACAATGATCAAAACTAGGAAACTGACATTGATAGTGTTAGTAATAAAAGTACTTACTCAAATTTTAGTTTTTACACTGTGTGTGTGTGTGTGTGTGTGTGTGTGAGTGCACATACACACACGTGTATGGTCCTGTGACATTTCATCACCTATAGAGATTCTTATAACGGTCACAATAAACAGGACATACAACTGTTCAATCACCCCAAAGAAACTGCCTCATGCTCCCCCTCTATAGTCACACCATACCCCAAGCCCTCACCTTAGCAAAACTGATCTCTTCTCCATTTCTATAATTTTATCATTTTGAGAATACTATATAATGGAATTCTAATCACACAACCTTTTGAGGTTGGCTTTTTTCACTCAGTACTATGCCCTTAAGCTCTATCCAAATTGTTGCTTGTGTCAATAGTTTGCTCCTTTTTGTTATGAGTAGTGCTCCGTTATATGGCTATACCACATTTTATTTGACCATTTACCCACCTAAGGACGGAAGGACGCGTTGGGTTGTCTCTGAGTTTTGGCTATTATAAACAAAGCCGCTAGGAACATTCACATACAGGTCTTTGTATGAACATAAGTTTCTATTTTCCGAGGATAAAGGCCCAGGGGTGCAACTGCTGGGTCATGTGTTTGAAGTATATTTAACTTTTTAAGACACTGCCAAACGAATTCCCAGAGTGGCTGTACCATTTCACATGGGCAGCAACATATGAGGTAATGAAAATTTGAAAGTCACAATTTCTACAATGCTTTCTAAGAGCCTGTAAAACAAGTAAGATTAAGTCTCTTAAATGTTATAATCTGACCTTAGTATTTTTTAAATGGATTTTTAAAACTTTTTTCCTGATTCCCACAAAAAGACTTCTTCTTTATTACCGCTAATGAAGAATGTATAATCAGATATAATCTGTATGTTGACAGCTCTGTTGCTGTATTATATAAGCTGCAATAAGAAGTGGAACAAAAGCAACATTGCCAACAGAAACAGCAAGTTTGTTTCTCTGTGTTCCTGACGCAGTCTATGAAGACTAAAGGCCTAACAGCACTTTCTAACACACAATGTGATCACAATCCATTTATACACAGTATCAACAACGGCAGTTTGTTCAGCTGTTACTTGGTAAGACAATTTGAGGAAAGCAACTAATTTGAAATAAGGCTGTAGTTATCTTAGCTATAAGATTCCTAACTTCATGACTTTTTAAAAAATTTTGGATATAATTGACAATTAGATAGCTAATGGAGTCTCTCTGGGATTCCTGAAACAAGGAGCTAGATCTGAAGCAGACATATCTATCCCAAATGTAAACAGCAATAAGTCTGCCAGTCTGCAGAGAAAACAAAATAAATGCACAGAAAGAAACTACAAAGCCGTGAAAAGAGTGGGATGGTGCTGCCCTTGTGCCCACTGACTTTCCAGTTCTCATCAGTCCCTTTCACGACCAACTATGTAATTCTGGATATTGAGCTCCAAGACAAATGTGTCCTTACAATATGACAGAACGTTGTCAAATCTCAAATTAATAACCTTGCAACTTAATTACATGACTTCCATCTAGTGTATCTTCCCACTTAATATATGTGGCTTATTGATAAACATTTTAGTATGTATATATATTTAATATTCATCCTAAATATTGGCCAGTGTGGACAGCATCTATATAATTTTCAAATCTGAGAGTACTGGCTTCTATCCCTTGGAGAGAGAGGAGTTATTGCAAAGAATCATCAAAATCCATGTACCTACACTAAGACTAAATAAATAATACAATTCAAACCAAGCTGACAAAAATGTTGTGGCTAATAAAATTCCCTTTTTTTTTTTTTGGCCTCACCGCACAGCATGCAGAACTTCCCTGACCAGGGATCGAACCTGTGCCCCCTGCATTGGAAACATGGAGTCTTAACCACTGGACCACCAGGGAAGTCCCTAAAATTCTTAATAAATTTACTCACCGATATTACTAGAAGTAGTTTCTTGTCATTAGTATATACTGGTGAATATTAAAAATCAAATTCTAATTATGGGGGGAAGGGCAGACTTAATACCTCTCCAGACTCTCTAGAGAGCTTTTCTTTCATCAAGTGTCCATATGTCATCCAGAAAAGAAGAGCAGAATGTGCTTGAGTTTGAGTGCAAAGATTTAAGATGACATTGGGAGAGATGGAGCAGGAATAATTGGGCAAGTGCATGAAATTATTTCCAAACAACCACCTCATAATGTTAGGTAATTAAATATCATTCAGAAGCTAAGGGGACAAGATATTAAAGGGCACAGCCCTCTTTATAGCTTTATAATGGCAAGTACGAACATATTCACAGGAATTCGGGTCAAAAGGGCCAAACATGCCCTAGAGTATAAACACATCTTGGTTACACCACCTAGCTAAATGCTTTGTCAGGATTCTATCACCTTTCTAAATTAATACTACACCCTTATTCCATATTTTCTACATTTTATCACTAAGAGTATAGTTTTCCAAATGTGCCATACACATTTGACTCCTTGTGTGGTGGTGGCTAGACAACCAAAGTCAAAAAGAATGACCTCTATTAATCTAAAAGAACACTTGCTTCGACAAAACACGATAGCAAGAAGAGACTCTGCACCCAGCACAATTCCTGACATACAGTAGCCACATGACATCTGGTGAATAAATGAGTCCACCTCTGCTTACTCTGAAAAATAACCTTGGCAAACATGTAAAACGTCCTACCAGTCTGAAAAATATTCTCCAGGCCTATTCAGTTACCCATCATTCTTAAAACCCATCAAGACCAATTTCCATGAAAGCCTCACTCACACACAGAGGCAGCATTTACTTTCCATTAGGTTCAGTGCCTGATACATGGAGATATCAACATTTGCACACTTGCATAAATTCAGGAGTCATCCTTCTTCTTCATTTGATATAAGGTAAATTTTTAAGCTTTGCCTCATTTCCAGTAAGTTTTATTTACCAAATCAAAAATACTTTCAAAGTTTCATTTTTTAAATCAAAATTCTATTCATAGCACATTATATCTTCTTAGGAATGGTTTTAAGGGGAAAAAAACCATATAGCTGTCAAAATAAAAATCTTGTTTTTCTTTCCTAGACATCTGGGACATTCACTTATGTATTTATTATTATTTCACATTAGTTCTCAAATTTAAAAAAAAAAGCTGGCTTATTTAAGAAATTTAATTTTAGGATCTGTCAACATTTTGAATGCACTACTGTTATTTTTAAAATATACACTTGCATCCTGGAATAAAACTTAGCATAAGCTTTCCATATAACCATTTCCTGGGCACTAACTAACTTACTATATGCCAGGTTCTGTGCTTGACACATTCCTCCATTTTCTCATTTGTTTAACAAATATCCTCTCGCGTTTTTTGCAGCGCTGAACATTAAGAACCCATTATACTCTAAACCTGATATTTGCACTAGATACTAGTACTAAACGGACAGTAATGCTTAACACAAGTTTACTGTCATTGGATTCAAGTTGTGTTACCATATTAACTCAGAATCTGATCAGCAATGATGAGATGCACAGAGAATAGCACCTGTGGCAGCTTCGGCAGAAGCTAGCGTTAAGTGACAACTTAAGTTGCATTCCCTTCCACAGGTAGCTGATCAACATCACCTTACCCACCCAGAAATTTAATTCCAATTGCTACAGGCCATTTTGAACAGCACAAACATAATCTGAATAAAATGATTATATAAAGAACCCCTGCCCCCCCCTCTGAAACTACTTTAAAATAGTAGATTAAATTCTCCCCAGAAGTAACACACTCAGCATGTCATGGAAAATAAGGGGCCTTTATTCTGAACTCTTAAAAACAAATGCTGCCCTACATTTTTTTAAAACTCTTGCAAATTTCAGACTCCACAGATGGGCAACTGCAGTTTAAAAAAAAGAAAAGAAAAAATAATAATTAATGAGACTCTT